CCAGCATGGCTGGCTGGGGAATTCTGGGAGTTGAAGTCCACTCATCTTAAAGTGGCCAAGTTTGGACAACACTGCCATGACTAGTTGGTTTTGAAATAATTGGTAAAAGCAAGAATTTGTTCTTTCCCTTATTCTTACATGTGTATTTTTTGATTTTAAGTTTAGGAATTTTCCTAAAACTTCAGAATTGGCTTTAGGTATTTTCACTTGACTGCAGTACTAATCTCTCTTTGATTTCAGCTGCAACCAGTCTGGCTGTTCTGTACACAGTCAACAATGAACTTCCTCTACACTAGATAAATTACTAGTAAGATGTAGCTTCTCTGATCCCAGAAACATGAAGGGGAACCCCAGGCATGGTACAAATTCCTCTGTTACAATAATACAGTTGGTCCCATGCCTTCAGTAACCAGTCAGAGAAAAAAATTAACCCTGAGACAGAAAAAAATAATTGTTCCACATCAACAGAGTCATCAAATAAAATGTTAAACATTTCTGCATTCCCCTTTTTTTTGCAGTTTTGTTTAATTTTTTTTTTTAAAAAATTGCATGATGAGGTGACATATGATCAGCTCCATTTTAAATCAGTAAAATCACATTTGAGGTTTAACACAATGGGTTTCTCCAATCATATATGCAAATGCTAAATCATTCAGAGAAGAAGAAAATGCATATGTTCCAGTGCATATGCATTATTTAGTATTGGCCTGGGGGGGTGGGGGCAGGGTCTAGTCATCCATCACCATGCAAAAGAGGCTTGTCTAAACTCTTTGCCTTCCACAGCATCACTCAGATTGTACTGTATTATAGATTTCAACATAAGCAACAATGCAGGAAAAACATGTAGCTACCAGGGCAATTCATAGCTATTTATGCATTGTCCAGCTCCAAAGAACAGAACCAGAATCCCTTCCTACATCTAGGACTCCAATGGAGCATTATTGAATTCATGGCATTAAGTCAGTATTAAACTCTAAACCTGATACCACTTTATAAAATAGGCTCATGTGCCTGTTTTTCAATTCATCTTGTAAAGCTGGCCCCAAATCAATGTTTTTGGTGGATTGAATCTAACTATCAGCAGTGTTTTTCTTTATGCTTAAGAAAATAAGCTCTAATTTTAAGTTTCTGCAAATTCGTCAGATTTGTCTTTGGGCACTCCCATTTATACAATGTGCAACCCTATTGGGGCTCCTCTTTCTCTTTTTTTCCTCCAGAACAGAGTAAAATAAGCTGTGCTATCATTGTAATGCAGTTATCAAGGATAAGAATGGCTTTAATTGTATTAAAAATAGCTACCAAATCCTCTTTTACAGGAACATAAATTGTTTCTGGATAAAATTGAAAAAAAAATTGCTTTATAAAAGGTGGGATATAGGCAAAATTTCAAAAGAGGAACCATTATTCTTTTCTTCACTCTGACAACTTCCAGGTAGCTAATTGTTTTCATCGCATTTTGGACTTCACAAAACTGGTATGATGGGGAAATGCTATTGTTTACCCCTGACTGCTTGACAAAAGCAATTCCCACGTGAACGACCAGCTTGGCTGTGGGACACGGTCCTGCTACCTTAAAGAAGGAAATGGGTGGGTGAGTTCTCAGGCACAAGAAATCACCATGTTGCCCCCCTCTGTTTTCACAGCAAAGCCAGTTTTGTTTCCATTTTTGCTCCTGCTATTGTGATCCCCACATGTTTGGCTAAAATTTCTATATAATCATTAATCATAAATGAACACCCCTCCAAAATATAATAGGTACACATTGTAAAAAAATAAAGTTATCAGATCTATTCAAAATAGTAGATTCTTTCTTATATAGATTTTATATTACACAGAAACATCTTGAAATAAAATCACAAAAGAGACTGACAAGAAACATTTAAAAGTAATGATAGACTATTTTTAATTCTCTATCAGTAGTTTAGTCATTTTAGAAATCTCATTACCATTTGGAAATGAAAAAGAAATGGTGTGTGTGTCTGTGTCTGTGTTGGTGTGTATGTGTGTCTTTGTATATGCATATGTATCTATGTATGTATAGAAATACATGCATAAACACACATACACATACATCCACTAGTAGCCTTAACTTTAAATTTAAATGCATTAAATATTTGCTGTGATGACTGAAACCTTATTAGTAAGGGTAAATGTTGTAGTTCTCTTTATTAAGTTAGTTTTAACAGCTACATATTTCTTCACCATAATGTCAATGAAGACTTTTCCCATTGAGGTCAACACACTTTTAACATAGCACTGTGATTTATTTGAAAGGAAAGCGAAGAGAGACCCACTTGGAAATCTCCCACAATTTAATTACTCAAAGAAAATGGGTCCAACTTTGATGGATTTAAATACCCTAATTCATGCAAACAATGCCTTATTTCAACATGTCTACTTCTTATTTTAGATCCTCCTCAGAGCTTTCCCTGAGAAGCGTTAATTTTAAAAAAAGATTAATATATTTAATGTAGAAAAATGAATTCAAATAAATAAGCATAAGAACTTGCTCAGCAGGCAATATTTATAAATCCACAAAGAGCAGATTAAAGTAAATAATACCATAGTCCAGTCAATCTCTCAAACTGAGCTGTGCTTATTCTGCACCAAAGTTAACTTATAAAGCGTCCAATGTTGACCAAAGTCAGCAGTCTTTCTATGTTTTTTTTTTTTTTAAGTTTTCAGTTTATGCAGCTTTGACACTTGGGAGGAGGTTGAATATCAAAGCCGAAGACAGGCTGGGTCCAAAGTTTTTCATTAGCACTTGGTGGGAGACTGCAAAGAACAATACAACATAACACACAAAATGCAATGCAGGGGGTGGGGAAATCTTCCAAATTCCAACTTCCACATCTTTGTCAAAGTAGAATAGGACTTTCTGAGCCAAATTGGAAGCCCAGGTTTAGGGACAGTTTATTGTTTACTTTTGGGGTGGAGGCCTTTTTCTTTTTTCTTTTCTTTTTTTATTTTTTTAGCATTGTTATTCCTCCTATGTCCAAACCTCCATATTTGGAAGTGTACAGTAGTGATCAATCAAGATTATATCAGTGAAGTGTCACTTTTTAGTTGGTCCTTTATTGGCTTACATTGTGTTGTGTTGTACAATCATTCCTTGCGCTCTTAAATTTGCGGATCCGTGAGAAAACAGCCTTTTTGTTACAGCGCTCACCTCTGACTGTAACGTTTTTCTCTTGAAGCACTTCTTCACCAGTATATAGGTTCCTTGCTCGGCAGACGTAGGTGCTTGAATGTTCAAGCGAAATATTCTTGATGATGAGAGTGAGTTCCATGGAATATTCCTTCACCACTGTTTTCTTAATTCTTGTTTGGTTGTTAGCTGTCCTTGGCAAAAGCCAGGTGATGTCTTTGTATAGGTATTTGTTGGCTAGACATGACAACACTAGCGTTTCTCCTTCAATAGGTGCTTTCTTTAAGTTAATAGAGAATCCATTTGGTATATCTGTGAAAAATCAAAGCACTCTTTTAGTTCATAAGAAATCTGAAAAAAAAAAAACATTTCTAGGACATAGTCCAAGTATCCTTCCTGAGCTGAAATTAAGTAGTGGTGGGTTTGATTAATGACCAGATAGATGACAGAATGGGAAAACTTTTATGCTGCCCTGAATATTTTCACAGGAATAAACTGGATGAGACACACGCAGTAGTCTTTGGTTAGTCTTTGTTATGATCAATGGACCAATACATAAATGGCTTAAAATATATGCTTTTGCCTATTATTACTAATAGAAAAACAAATTTCTGATAATGCATATAGGCTTTCTTCTTATCACTATCCCTGACACTAGGCATCTACACCTGATTAAGGCAAGTTCTGTCTACCTTGGTCTTGAAGGAGCCCCAATTAATGGTTTATATTGCCATTAGTCATTCTTTTCCGTTTTATACAAAGTAAATTTCAAAAACTAAAAGCTTCTCCTGGTCACAGAAAAGTTCGTTGGGACTTGAACTACAATAAAAGGTTGTGGAAAAAAACTGACGTCTCTATCATTTGCAAATTTTGTAAAATTTTAGAAAAATGTGACACCACACTATCAAAAAACATGTTTAGAGCACTCACTGCCAGTAAGCACCATTCCTGTGCTCTTAGGAACAAGAGTAGGAAAGGATAATGTATTTGTATCCTGTTCTGACCATTCCAGAAGCAGCTGATTGGCCATTATGGAAACGCACGGTGGGCTAAATAGAATGCTGTTTACTTTGATCCAGCAGAGTGCTAGTGAGGTTCTTCAATAACACTTATATTTAGCTGAATGAATAAATCAATTCAATTAATACCAATATCACTAAACTTCGCTATTCAAATACCATTTAAAGGAATATTAAATATGGTTTTTAAAAATTATCTTAAGATTACAAATGTACTTTTACATACTCAATTTTTTTTAAAAAAAGAAATATCCTCCACGGTAGATGGGGTCTCTATGTGGGTTTTTTTTTTTTTTTTAACTTTACTAAGCTTTTTTCCTTTATTTTCAGTGTTTAAATATAATAATATATTGACTCTTACTGCATGTCATATGTTGTTAATTTTTTGGTTTGTGCTTTTTTGCCATACGTTTTCAATTTGATATGATGGATGGTATTTTTTTTTCATTAAAAAGAGATTGCTATATGCAAATCTTGCCATATGTTGAGTGCTACTGTCATGTAAGGAAATATATGGATCACAATGGCACTTAGAAATAATCTGACTATTGTATCAGATTAATATTTAGATGTTGCTGGTACTTTATGTCAGTTGTGAGATGCTATAGAAAGCCAGTTTTGTGTAGTGGTTAAGGCAGCAGGCTAGAAGAAACTGGGAGACCGTGAGTCCTAGTCCTGCCTTAGGCATGAAGCCAACTGGGTGACCACTCTCATAGCCCTGGGAAGAAGACAAGAGCAAAGCATGTCTGAAATCTCGCCAAGAAAACTGCAGGGACCTGTCCAGGCAGTCAGCAGGAGTCAATACTGACTCAGAAGCACACACCCCTGCCCCCCCAAAAAAGAGATGTTATGAATCAAACTTCACCAATGTGGCACTCTCCACATATGTTGGATTACAAGTCAGGGACTATGCCAGTGTTGTCCAAACTTGGCCACTTTAAGATGAGTGGACTTCAACTCCCAGAATTCCCCCGCCTGCCCTGGTTGCTGGGGGATTCTGGGGGGTTAAGGCCATTTATCTTAATGTTGTCCAATTTTGAAAACAACTGCCT